TTTTTTATTATATCATTGTAAAACTTACTTCCCGGTAATTTATTTAAACCAAACCCCTCCTCGTATTCTTAAGCTCGCCCGAAATTGCACTTAGCCTTCTCCCCGGTCACTCGGATTAAGTTCCATGACCGAAAGCCAAGGCATACGGCCGTACTGGCACAGCTGGCGTTAAAGTGCGCCCCCTCTCGGCACACTGACCCAGTTTGGGCCCTTTCTCGAAGTACGTCCGACTCGTGTGTCCGTTTAGCGGAGCACGAGCAGAGGATTCCGCTTCGTCCTCCGTTCGACTCCCGGCTCGTTAGGAGCCTAAGGACGAAGCGAAGCGCCTCCCGATTTGCGTCGGTCCTTCCCCACGGCTCCCTTGCGGTCCGGAGCCCGGACGCGACCAAATCGGTCTAACAATTCGGTTCCTCGTTACGTTCACCCCCTCAACTCCGCATGCGCGCGGAGTTTGAACGTAACAATAAGTATTGACATTTTAATGTACACGCGTAAGCAGTGACACTAGCGAACCTATTGGAAAGGGCGGAGTCATATTCACACACCCAATATTTGAAAAATAGAAGTATAATAGCCAGATATAGATGTGAGAACGAGACAAAAGGAGGTCAATATTGGAGAGAGGAAAGAAGAAAAGAGATGCAGAATTTGTCAAACTGCAGAGGAGATTATGATTCATGTACTTAAGAAGTACAAGAAGACAAAGAGTGATGCAGATGGAAGAATTTATAGGGGAAGAAGGTAAAGAGATAATGCTAGAGATAATGAAGAAGATAGATAAGACAAGAAAAAGCAGAAAAGAGAGGAAAGGCAAACAAGAAAGAGGATTTTGGATTATCACATCGTATAAAAAAGTTAGAAAGCAAAGTTTGGTCGAAGTATAGTTTTTGGAGCAATTCCAAGCAATGTTGTATAGACAGTCTTAAAGTACCAAAACACAAACAGTTATAGGTATCTGATAGGTGTGATATATTTTGCTTCATGTTTGATATATTGTATATTCTTATATTTTATATATTATATATTTTATATTTATATAAGTATGCGATTCGAGATGTAGACATGTATAATGTATATATAAAGAATATGTAGCCAACAAAATGTAAACTGGAAGCCATCCTAAACCCGT